ACATTGTAGTTTTCAAAGTAGGCAGGAAAAAAAATTGTTTTATTTGAAAAGTTTTGAAAGGAAACTTTTTTGCCATGAATATTCAATACAAACTCTAGTCTTTATTTGCCAGTATTCCTTTAAAATAGAGAAGATCCAGCAAAATGAAACTGAACACAGCCCATGCTTTTCAGGACTCACTCACAATGGCATCTTCCTAGAGGGTGGTCCAAGCACATGGGGATTTAGATTTCATCATCACAGCACAAGCGAGCCCCAGGGCTGAGCACACAGAGGGCAGCAGGAGCTGCAGAGCCCCCTCTGTGGTACTTAGGGAAGGGAGGGGATGGGATGAGGGTGATGTCTGCGGGACCCCAGAAAAGGGTGAGGAGGGCAGAGAGTCTGCAGGTAGATGAACATATTCTAAGGAGAACAATTATCCTCCTAAATTTTGTTGGCTTCAGTGATTATGAAGAAAAGGGAACTGATTCACCAGACTTGGAGAACAGAAAGTAAAGGGACTTTCTTTATCCTGCGTGGAGACTGAGGAAGAAAAAAGACTTTCAAAGAAACAGGGAAGATAGAGAAATAGTCTGACAAACAGAACACCTGAAGCAAACCAAAGGGGAGAACAAGAGCGTTTAAAGTGGTGTTTAATTTCCAAAAACAGCAGATGAAAGAGAAAGAAACAAAACACCATGCATATGCTGAGTTAAACTTAGAAAATACATACAATTGTTTGACTGTTACAGCACAACAACACAAAGCTCTATTCATTGAAACGGTTTGTATTGAGGAGATGCATTTTTTAAGAAAGGGTCTCACTCTGTCAACCAGGCTGGAGTGCAGTGGCACAATCGCAGTTCACTGCAGCATCAACCTCCCAGGCTTAAGGGATTCTCCCGCCTCAGCCTTTCAAGTAGCTGATTCCAGAGGTAGCACCACACCTAGCTATTTTTTGTTGATGCTTGCTTGTTTTGTATAGAAAAGATTTCACTGTGTTGCCAGGCTGTTGTAAAACTCCTGAGCTCAAGTGATCTCCCTGCCTCAGCCTCCCAAAGTGCTGGGATTACAGGTGTGATTTTAAAAATTGTACTATTTTCAAGATAGTATCATTTTGCATACACAAAATATATAAATAATCTATTTTTAAAATTGTCCTGGGGGATCATTGCCAGTATTACTTGGAAAATCTGCAGCATTAAAAGTTGAATTAAATCCCTGTTCTAAGTTAATGTTTTGTAGGTAAAAGAAATCATGGATTTACAAAGAAGAAATGGTGAGAGATCCCGGGAAAGACTTTTGCTTGACCAGGTCAGGAATCACCAAGATTTAAAAGGAAACCACAGCCTCTCAGGCTCCTGATGTGGAGCTGCCTCCTAAGGGAACCCTCGTGTACTGAGCAGCCCTTGGTGGTTCTGAGCGCCCCCTGGTGTCCTGAGCGCCCCCTCGTGGTCCTGAGCGCCCCCTCGTGGTCCTGAGCGCCCCCTGGTGTCCTGAGCACCTGTGGTGGTTCTGAGCGCCCCCTGGTGTCCTGAGCACCCCCTCTTGGTCCTGAGCTCCCCCTGATGTCCTGAGCACCTGTGGTGGTTCTGAGCATCCCCAGGTGTCCTGAGAGCCTCCTGGTGGTCCTGACTGCCCCTTTGTGGTTATGAGGAGCATCTACAATGCAATTCCCTCCTGTCTTCCTGCAGAGATTTTTGTGTCTGGGCTCACACAGATGTTCCCTCTCCTTTGTCCCTCACAATAATACAACGCCTTGTCCTTGGCTTTCAGGTTGGTCAGTGTAAGGTAGACTGTACTTGAAAGGGTGTCACCTGGGACTGTTAATTTATTTGTACT